CAGAATCAAACAAAACAATACAAACTTTCGAAATTCAAATCTATCCAACAGAAGTACAAAGTTAATTATATTTAAAAGTATCCAGCACGTCTATTTATTAACCTACTTAAAGATGCACGTGAGTTGTATTATCATCAAGCTAAATCTGATTTACATAAAAAATCGATTCGCATTAAAAAAAGATATCGATTCAAATCGTCCACTGCGAATTACATCATCGCCAAATATCGATACAAGATAAAATAATAAAATAGTCGATAGTTTACTAAACTACAATTCCGTGGACAGTTGGTTAAAAAACATTTACGACTTCATAGATAACGAGGTCATTCAAAGTTTTTGAACATACTTTCACCAAGACCGAGTACCCGCCCCAGCATTGTCACCGCGGCAACCAACTGGGAGTCCGATTCGCTTACCTAATGTACCTGACTGAGAAATAAACGCAACTAAACCGAATTACCATTCTTTGACCACTGCAGTAATAAAGTTAATCTTTCTTACACTGAACCACAACACAAATACTTATTTTATGTTAATTTATATATCTTTTTAGAGGATAGCATTAAATCCGTGACTATCAAATAAAACAATAGTAAGTAGTTTATAAATAAATGGAATTTTAAGTGTACCCGTTAATCATTTCATACAAATAGTTATTTTTCCAAATGAACAAATTTTATCTAGTTTATTAAAAGAAAACATTTTGGTTGGGAAAGGTCTAAAAGTACAATAATCTTATTATTATTTTAATTGTGATATAAAGAATGGAAACATTTGATTAATATTCTTTTTTTATAATGACATAGATTATAACAGTTGGATTTATGTAGAAACGATTAGCCATAGTTTGTAGCTTTAGTTTTTTACTGGTTTCTTATATCAAATAACTCTTTACCTTTTATAATTTACAAGCAATAAGAAAGTTATTGTGCCTCAGAATAACATTTCGACCAGTATCATGATAACACAAAACATTTCTAGAAAATACTTTCTTCTTATATTATAAGGGGGCAAATGAGCAGCTGATCGCTTAATGATAATTGATCCAACACCCATGAACATCTGCAACGCCTGTGCCAATACTGTTTCACATATTGAAACTTAATTCTAATACAATAACAGTGAAGATGTAATGTTATAAAAATCTTCCCATTAAACTACTAAAAACATAGATCTTTTAATAATGTTAAGTGACACACAAATTATAAAACTATGCAAGTGTTTATTAATGAGGTTTTAATGCATTAAATACCTACAACCCATAACAACTTTTAAGCACAAATATGAACTAAGACTAATTAACAAAAGAAACAAAAACTTATCACAAACCTAGCACTACCTAATACCTAATTTTCAAGCAATATTTAACTTCATTAAAGCATCATCATTATCTTATATTACTCCCGTAGGGTTGGCACAGCAGGTTTTTGTCCTCCATATAACTCTATCATATGTCATCTCAGTTATTACTCCCTTCTTGGTCACCTTTTACACAAACCATCCATCTCATTCTCAGTCTACCTCTACTGGTGTACCTCCACACTCATAACTAACATTCTCCTTGTTTCATGGTTCATCCCTTCTCATAACATGCCCATACCATGCTAACCTTTAAAGCATTATATTGCATTTACAGAAATTATTTTGCTAGTCTTGATCAGATTTCCTCCCTCCAGGACATATCCCCTTTTATTATGATCCATAAAAGATGACCTAACTCTCCTATAATCTAGAAATCTGAATTCTGATGGAACTTTTTAGATCTATTAAACTTTTATTTATCCAGTAATAGACAACATAGCAAGCAAAACCTAGTGATGCAACTACAGTCACAAATCAAAACAAACCAAACATATATGAGCACTTTTCTATGACATTCATTTTTACATTCTTGTCTTTTCTATCACATGCCACTTTCACTGTCATACTTTAACAAGTACTGGCAGCACACAGCATCGCTAATGTACCTTTTAACATACTCATCCACTAGAGAATGGAAGTTTTTCATTCACAAAAATACCATCAAATTTAGTTACAATTGATTCTACTATATTGAAATAAACTTTAAAAAAATCTTCAAAAATACAAACTAAGTAAGAACTATAACTGTCACTTTATTCGACATCTACTAATTTTGAGGTCATCAGTGCCCATTCAAGTCCAGTCTACATTTAGGGCGAGAGGAACTGGGATTATTTAAAAAAAAGCATTGTTTTTTCTACTATATCATATATAAAATATACCACATAATACCATGGTGTAGGTTTTCTAAAATAATAAATAAAGAGTTAAGTTTTTAAAGTTACTTTAAGACCAAAAAACACCACTCATTGGCACTAAATTCATTAAAAATAGTAATATGATAACATAAAGGAACAAATTTACATATGGACACAAAATTGATTTTCATTGAGGTTTGCACTTGCTTTTTCAGGATATTTTTTTTAAATTTCATATCTCACACCCACAATATGTTTGTACCGAGGTAATATACTATCACACTCAAGAGAAAGCAGATGAAACAAATGATACGTTACTTGTCAAAATTGGTTCAGTTGTTTAAGCTCATTTTAAGAATCTGCATACATTTCTCAGTTGGGTAAAAATAAACCCAAACAGTGAAAAAAATAGGTAATGAAAAAGTATTATGAGACTATACTTATTACTGTATTATTATGTGTTTGTTGTCTTTCAAATATCACCACTCATTATTTCACTTGTCATTTCAAAATCACATAGAGTCTATGTGTTTTTCAGTGGTATAGCAAATATATTTATGATATGACACTTAAAAGAAAATGCATAAGGTTTTAAGTCATGGGTCCTGAGGTGATTTGAAGGTTTTGGGACCCTCTTTACTCATACTGGAGTTATTGCTTGGGGATTTTAGCAAGTCTGTTATAACCCTCTTTTCCTCCCAGATACCCGACTATCATTTGGGAATTTCTCCCAATATAATAATATATGTTGCATGGGAAATTATGTTGCTCTGTGTATCCCTAAATATTTATTAATAACATAGATATAAAAGCTCATTCATACAAAACATTCACATCCATTTTAAAACAATCACTTGACATTTTATCACCTTAAAATGTCACTTTGGCAATGACAATAATGTTTATATGCAATTATAAGAATATTTTAACAAGATAAATTAAATATAACAAGTTACAAACTCACATATACTCGCAAATAATACTTTTAACAAATTTACAAACATCAGTATTTTATTGTTAAATGCCCTTGTGTACTAACATTTTAAATTAAAAGAGTCAAGGAATCATTGTTTTTATTTCAATAAAGTAATACTTTTTAACATTTACAACTATACTTAATAACTATTACGATAGCAATTTATAAGACTCAATAAATTGTTGCACATCGGAGAGGAATGTAATTTATTTTCACTATTCATCTATCTGAACATATTCATTACTAGGTAGGGCTTGTGAACCTGGTTTTCAGCATCCAGAGTTATCTATGTTTTTTCACCAGATCATGGTTGAGATGGTTCTTTTATTTAGCAAAGCCTTAATATTCAGAATTAGTCTTCAAATTACTTGTTTCTAAGGAACCTTTCATTTGTCAATCCCCTCAATTTTGTCACCTTTCACACATAACTTTTTGTCTAATCAAAACCTCATGTTACTTTAAAAGACTCATCATCACCTCCCCTGCCTTATCCTACTCCCGTAGGGTAAGTGCACCGGGTTACTTTAAAAGACTATCAAGATTATTAGTGTTTATAGTATTACACTAAGAACCTATTACCACATGTACTTTTAAGCCATCTCTAATACCAATGGGTTATGAAACTACAGTACTATACTAAAAGCTTTTAAATATTTACACTTGCAAATGACAACTTTTTAAACTACATTTCCAAGTTATTGTAAGCATAAAATAAAAATTTATGTAAAATGGCAATAACATGTTTTCAATACTATATATGTTTTATTACTCTTAGTACCTTTTACTATATATTAATGTTTAAATATATTGAATAGTTACTTTATAACATATTTATAAGTTTAAATATGTTGTTGGAGCAATATCCATTAGTGACAGTAATTATATCCATTACAAATTTATTTCAATGAAATACAGCACAAGTATGAGTAAAGTTAGTTAGTTACAACATTAAAATAATACTTCTATTTATTGCTGTTTTAATTTTGAGAAGTTTAACAAAATTTGAAGATTTTGTGAAACATAGTTTTAACTTTTTGATATAATTACATATATCTTTATTCCTTATTTTGTGTTTAATATATTTCACATTATTTTTATAATTACTATTATTAACTTCTTTAAATTTGAGTCTTCTTTATTTTTAATGTAAAATGTAGACCAATAAATAAAAATATATCATCAGAATTAACATTATGTTTGATTTCATATTTATTAATGTAAATAATGTCATATACTAAAAGTGTTTCAAATGATTTCTTGAATAAAATATTTTAGTTGATAATACTAACTTACTTCCTATTTCTCCAAAACTAACAATTATTGAATTAAGCGAAATTAATATAAAATCGTATTTTGTTACTGTTAACATCTCAATAGTAAAGAGTTTCTTCAACAATAAAGATTCTAATTGCACAAGAGTTGTTACAAAATTCTATATTACGATGTTAAAATCAATTGAAATTGTTGCAAATGCAGGCAGTGATAAAACGTTGTAAATACTAAATTCGGTGACAATATGATTCGAAGTCTTCCTAATAATAGCCAAGTGAAATACAATTCTGTGTGTAATAATACAGAGTAAAATTTCTACTTGTTGACGTGGCGTGACAGCGCAGGGAGTAAATTTACTTTACACTTTTAGTGTTAGATAGCCCTAGAATACTTCTATAATTTAAAAGAAATATTGTGTTTTGCACAAATATTTACAGTTTAGCAGTTTCATTATGATTACTTGAAATATAAGTATGGCGCCTGACATTGTTGGCCTGTTTTGGTAGTAACAATATGGCGTATGAACTTACCCTATTATTCCTAATAAAATCTTCTATAGCTTTCAAAGCAGAATCCGTAAGTTTCACAAACACTAGTTCCTTGTTTTCTTTATAACTAGACTCAGATGATAACCCATACTGAACACCTGCTGGCAAGGCCGCCATTTCTTATTCACTATTCGCACTGTGGACCAGCTGACTCCTTTGCTAGTCGTCACAATTCATATCATTCACACATTTCTTAACGTAATCACAGATTCACAACCTAATTAAAATTATAATTATGATAACAAAAGGGTTTTATAAGTCCAAATTAACAAATTTTTTGTAACCCCATCGACTCGGCCTTTGTTGGCAGCGCTCTTCAGTCTGCAAGGCCGCACTGACTGTCATGCGCAATGGCGCTTTTGACAGGAAACGCGAGCATTCACTGCAACAGTAGCGCCAAATTTGAATTTTAAACACGAGTATTACAAAACTTTTTAAATTGGTTCAAAACTTTTGCTTTTGTTTAATATTTATGAAGATTGAATTTCTTTGTCCTTTAATTCATAGGAGTTTTATTAGATTTAGGATGTAATACTAAGAAGTACTAATGAAGAAATAATAAACATTTATTTGTTTTGTTAGAAACTACAATAACAGTTACTAAGCAGACTAAAATTGGAAAAACGATACTTATTTACTTTGTTTTCTAAAACTTGTACAACGAGCAATTCGCACAAGTGAATAAAAATGTCAGACTTATACACTTTATAGTTCCATTTAGGTTTTAGGGTTTCAATGGCAGTGGAAATAGCGTGTACTAATAACTTCTTTCTTCGATTCTAGTTGTCTAAATACAGTAATTGAAATATGTATATGTCTTTTAGTTTGCTTATTTGGAATGGCTAAAATGTATATTATTTTTTGGAAAGTAAGTTCAGTCAGTCAGATCTATTATCTGTAATTAGTTCATCCAGACTTGATGTGCTTTATTTATTGTTTTATGGAATAATAAACAAAACTAAGATCAATCATTTCGGATGGGGCAAGTTTGGACCAAGTTGATTGGTTGGATTATTTTGGATTTCCAAGTTGCTGTGCTCTGGTGGTTACAATGTGTAGTATCTATACGAACACAATATGAAACTGCAATCAATCGTAGTCGAAGATTACCTACTATTGATATTACAGAAAAAAATATTTTACTATTAATATTTTTATCAAAAAAAATCACCATTGCCGTACGATTTTACTAACAGAAAATATTTGATCGACTGTTCATTCTAAACCGATGAAAAACGCGACTGAAGTGATTTAAATTAATTGTATATCCTAGTCCAATTTTTTAGTTGCCTTTTTTCTAATTTTTGTAAAAAAGCATTGCGGTGCGAAGTTAGTTGGGGTTCGAAAAGCATGAAAAAGGTCTGTATAACAGATAGAATAAGATGTTTACAATATTGTTTATGAATATGTTATCTGTAAATACAGACACCTGACAGATGACAAATATGTCAGCTGTGTCTGACGTATTCTTACGGATGACGTATGATGCAATGTGGAGTAGAGTTGTCGTATTCTAGCATTCGAAATTTGGTTATTTTCTAACATATTGTATAGGTATTAGTAGTTATTTACGTTGACAAAGTACTTGGTGCTGTAAGTTTCTTTAAAATGTTATGATAGTATTTAATCTAATTCTACTTTCATCTACATTTCGACAGTATTTCATCGCATAAAAATGTAAAAGCTTATGGCAGTAATATATTGGTTTCCAGGTGGAAAAGTTGAAGCCATGGCTAATTTCGAAGAGAAGAAACATCTTATTACTCGTAACTTGCAAGAGGTCATGGGTGAAGAAAAGCTGGTCGAAATCTTGAAGCAACGAGACGTTAAAATCTATTGGGGCACAGCTACCACAGGCCGACCTCACGTAGCATACTTTGTGCCTATGTCTAAAATAGCTGATTTCCTTAAAGCCGGATGTGAGGTAACAATCTTATTTGCAGACTTACATGCCTATCTGGATAATATGAAAGCGCCATGGGATCTCTTGGCACTTAGAACTGAGTACTATGAATCAGCAATAAAAGCCATGTTAACATCACTTGAGGTACCTTTAGAGAAACTTCGATTTGTCCGTGGTACAGATTATCAATTAAGCAAGGAGTTCACATTAGATGTGTACAGACTCTCATCTGTGATTACTGAACATGATGCAAAAAAAGCTGGAGCAGAGGTGGTGAAGCAAGTTGATTACCCAGTACTAAGTAGTCTGCTATACCCTGGCTTACAAGCATTGGATGAAGAATATTTGAAAGTTGATGCACAATTCGGTGGTGTTGATCAAAGGAAAATTTTTACATTGGCTGAGAAACAATTGCCTCGACTTGGTTATGCTAAGAGGATACATTTAATGAACCCTATGGTTCCTGGTCTCACTGGTGGAAAAATGTCTGCATCAGAGGAGGATAGTAAAATTGATTTGCTAGATAGTCCTGCTGTTGTTAAAAAGAAGCTTAAAAAAGCTTTCTGTGAACCTGGTAATATAACTGAAAATGGTATTCTATCATTCACAAAACATGTAATATTTCCTTTAATGAAACAGGATGAGGTTTTCAAAATATGCCGTGCGGAGGAACACGGAGGTAATGTAGATTATTCCAAATTTGAAGATTTAGAACAGGCATATGCAAAGCAAGATATCCATCCAGGAGATTTGAAAGCCTCCGTAGAACAAGCTATTAATAAACTTTTAGCTCCTATTCATGAAATTTTTAAAGATAGTAAACTTCAAGAGTTGACTAAAAAAGCTTATCCACCAGTGAAAAAAATTGCAGCTGCGGCCGCTGTTGATGAGGTAACTCCTGCTAAACTGGATATAAGAGTGGGTCGCATAGTAGAAGTATCTAGACATCCTGATGCAGATTCTTTGTATGTAGAAAAAATTGATTTAGGAGAAGAAGAACCAAGGGTAGTTGTATCTGGACTTGTAAATTATGTTCCAATAGAAGAAATGCAAAACAGAGATGTGGTGGTATTATGTAATTTAAAACCTGCTAAAATGAGGGGTATAGAATCAAAGGGTATGGTTTTATGTGCATCTGTTGATGAACCTAAACAGATAGAACCACTCTTGCCACCTAAAGATTCCCAGCCAGGTGAAAGAATTGTTGTGGAAGAACATGATAATGGTGAACCAGATGAGGTGTTAAATCCAAAGAAAAAGGTATGGGAGAAATTGCAAGTTGATTTGAAAACAAATGGCGATTTATTTGCAGTTTGGCAAGGGAATAAACTGATCAGCAAAGTCAGTGGTAATCCAGTAACAACGAAATCCTTAATAAATGCTCCCATAAAGTAATTTGTTTAGCGTTATAAGTAAAAATAATTTGCTGGTAATCGCATTTTTGAATTATTACATTTATAAGTATGCATTTTACATTAAACTTCCACAATTACATTCAAATTAAATTATTTTGATGTACATAATGTATTTTTATTTTGAACAAAATAAATATTACTTTAATTTTTAAATTGTTGTTTGTTTTTTCCTGTGTTTATAGGATAACAGAAATAGTACTATTAATATGTAACACTAGATGTTGCTCGCGACTTTACCGCGTGCAATTGAAAAAATATATAGCCTATGTTATGCACTGAAAGGTAGCATTTTAATGCTGAATGACTTTTTGAAATCGGCCCAGTAGTTTTTGAGTTAATTCAATACATACAGAAATCTTTCCCCTTTATAATAATAGTATAGATTATAATTGCTTAAGTTTTGTAAAACTAAATTTCTATACAATAGTTTTATTAGAGGGTATAGTAGAAAAGAAACGCTTTTTTAAATATGTACCAAAATGTAAAATCTCTAATCGTAACTTGTGTAAAAAATATAAAATTCTGAAAAGACCAAATTCAATTTTTTTATTTCATTTTAGCTGTCCACCCACTTTTGTAAATAGTTTAAATCGTCGGCTAGCGACACTGCTTAAAAACGCGAAAATTATAGTTACGTTAGAATAGAGATATGTTCCTTCATTTAATAAAAATAAAAAAAACGTTGAGTTTAACTTGTTAAAGTATATGTGTTTGTTGTATATTGAATAATGTCTATGTCGGTAGATGCAAATATACAGTTGTCATTACTCACACGCACAATGAAGTTACTTACTCTGATTTCTAAATATTACAGTGATGAGATATAATAAAAATGTAGGATTTTTGTGTATTGGTGTAGGGGAGACCATCATATGAATTGAAAACTTGATGGATGTAGAGATCCGGTTTTAACGACGTATATTTACTTACTGTGTAAAAAAGATAAGTAAAGAACAGCATTTTGTTTTGTATTGCAGGTAACCTATCAGTCAGGGATATGGGTGCATCTGCAGTGTCGCTTCTCTGCAATATGCAAAGATCACTACAAGACAAATAAAAATGTTCAATTACTGAAAATTTAAACTGCATTATTCAGTTGAAAATAAATGAAACGTTATTGGAAAGAGTTGTAAGGAGTAAGTATTTGTGTGAATTATAAATGCGAAAGGGTTGTCATGCAGTACTGCTATATTGAGGCTCGGATAAAATTAGATATTCAATATCGACAAGGGGCCGGCGCCCCGCCATTTTGGACGAATGAATAGTTGGCGGAACATTGCAGGCGACAGCGAGGGCGAGGGGAGCGCGCATGCGTGGCTCAGCACCCGCACCCTGTCTGTAGGGCCGAGGTCTCGCTCAATGTGATGTCAAAAAATGAGTTATTTTCCCATCTTATTCACTTATTACATTGTTTATATCAATGAATTTTGATGTTTTATATCGCCTCTCAACATAGTTCCGCGTGATGTGCGTGTTAGAGTGGTAAATTCATAAAAATCTAGACTTACCACAAGTGGTGTATCTTAAAGACAATGAAATCGTTTCCGTGATTGAAAGACTTATTTGCTTTAAAGACATTTACGTGTTTATAATAACTCGCTGCAAATTGTTTGATTAAATTATAAAAGTGATTTTTAGTGTACTTGCACTGGTGAAGACGGCTTGCGTCGAGATAAATTAAGGATCGAAGAACAACATAATGGGATGACAGGAAATACGGATTCATGGAAAAGGTTTGGCGCCGAGTCGGTCTCCATTCCTCCCGGAAGAAAAGGGATGGAAGTGGAACGAGTCGAGAAGTGACGTCATCGGCTCCACCGGAGGCTGAATACCAGAATATACACACTTTGAGAACTGCAGATTTAATACGTCAGCGCCAGGGCGAGGAAAAGTCAACACTCCGCTCCTCTTACATAATCAGGAACGGGGACAACTTTATCTTGGTGGAGAGGCGACGTCGGCGGCGGCGCAGGAGCGGCACGCGGGCGTCTTCCGGAAGCCGGCACCATACGCCGCCCCTCGAGGACAATGCCCGTGCAGAACAGAAGCGCCGACCGCCTGCTAAACTGAAGCTATTCGGCATACAATGGCCATTGCACTCTAGTGAAACTAGGTAAGATTATGATTGTAAAAATGTTGTTTAAAGAAAGCTACGCCTTCAGTTGAAACTCAACTGTCTGATTTTTCGGTAACTGCGTAGTTTACACCCCTATTGGTGTTGTTTTAATTATTGGAAAAAAACAAAAAGTTAGTATTTATATTTTCAAATATGTGCTAAATCCTGCGTTGTCTAGATCAAACGCATTTTGTTTCCGCTATACGAATGCAAATACTAAACTTGTAAACAAATCTTCGTAATTTACTTACTATAGAACATAATTTCAGGATGTTGTGACATAGATAAATATTATGAAAATGTTTTTGCGGTATACCATACATAGATTTATATTTACCATCTTTAGAAGAACAGACAGATATCGTAGTAAAATACGTAAATTGCGAACGTTTCTGATCTCTTAATAACTATTTAGAAATACCTACTATTATATACCTTTTATTTATATGAAACGTTATCTTCATGCTCTATTCCATAATAACGGTTGACCCAATATAGTATTCTTCCGTACGTTTATGACATATTGACGGTAATGTCTACGCATTTATACTGAACTAGGGTTTTCCTATAGTTCATGTTTATTGACTTTGTAGCAATGATAGAATTGCGATTTGTCTAACATAATTAATGACGACACAAAACATTTGCAGGCACACGTCGATAGCCCGTCGTTTCTGCCGCGGCCGTCGCTCTCGGGACGATAACGAGCTCTACCGTTCTAATAGCTTCAAGTTCGAGCGGTTCACGCGGGAGCCTGCAGCGGAAGACCTTACCTCCAGCTCACAGGTAACTTCCACATGTATAGCTTGCGTCCACAAAAATATGATCAAAAAGTTGAAAGTAGAGTAAGTCTATACTTTAAAACTGTACTAATTTATTAGCGACTATAGATTTAGTTCTGCATTTATCTCACTCATAGTCGTTTAAGCAGCACTTTTGCTCAGATTTCTCTCAATAATCTACATAGTAATAATTTCTAACGAATTTGAAGTAGAGAATTTTCAATGGTAAATTCAAATTTTATTTAAGTGCCATCTATTGTTAAACTGAACAACCCTTGAAATGGTCAGGTACTCATGAGCTTTTTAAATAATCTATTGTCTGTAACATAGATGGCGCTGTATTACACTATTAATGTAGAGCAACAACCCTGATCTTGGCGTAAGCCTACATGCCTTTGATGAAAAACCATTACTTCAATAATTTTATTGTTACTAATTAAGAATATAGTTTAAATGAGTTTCAAACTATAAGCTTGGTTTTTTAAAAATACTTTGGTAAACTTGTTCGTGGACTTTCATCGCGATTTATATTGATGATTGATGGATCGAAATTAATCAGAACTAGTTAGCGAGATTGGTATAAATTATGTTCACATATGCCGCCTGGGTCGGTCAATCATTTGTGAATTAGGTACGTAGTTTGTAACATATGCAAGAGATGTTTGAACAATGTTTTGTAAATATATTTAATGTTGGCAGTACAACTATATTTTTGTGATCATGTTGATAAACTCTTAATAATATAGCGTGACCCATTTATTTATCATTGTATGTTTTGACAGTGATTTGGAACTTGTCTGATTGTCTTCTAATTTTCTTAATCTTAACACAAAGTCTTGGATATAAAATGATAAGCTTATAGTAATTTTAAGTTAAAATTCTCGAAATTTCGCTAATACGTTAGGTTTCCTCGGGTCAATGTACAGGTAAAACTGCACAATATTATACATTTTTACACCGAACACTCCTGCCTCCTGCCTATAAATCACTTTATCCCCGCGGTGATCGAAATTGCCTCATCAACATACTAATACAGTAACGCCATATGTCCTCCCCAAGTTGTATAGATTCCGCGTGGGGTCGCTGACGCCCCACAGTTTGCGATAACTAGAGATACATACCGGCTTATTTTATCAATTTCTTACAATAAACATTATTGAACTAACAAATGACTCGAATCTTTTTAAGCTGTAAGGAACTGGAGCGAAGCGTAAAACCATGTGAAAATGAAACCCAGTGTTTGATTATTCAACAAAGGATTTTTGTTATTATTCTTTGGTACCAAATACATCCCAAGTTTATAAAAAAAATGGTTTCTCTTTGGTTCCGGTACGCTTTGGCGACTTGCACTAAGCAAGAGTAGTTTTACATTGAATGTCATTTAATTTTGTTAGGAGCTACAATTCAAACTTTAGTCTGAATATGACCACGGTCTTCGGATGTTATAAAAGTTATTTGACTAAAATATTTTTTTCAAATACAGTACACTACTCAAGCGTTATAATGATTAAACAAGAACACTTGTATTTCTTGCTCACAGAAATTTAAATGGCAACATTAAAAATACATTTACCAACTCTTCGTGGAGTTTAACCCAAAAATGAAATGAGGTTATTATGGCCCTCCGAAGGGCCTCTACCTGCGTTGAAACAAAATAAAACACAATAAGATACGATCGTTTTTAAAACGAACTCGGGGTAAAATACCGCTTCGAGCCTTATTTAGATGTCTGGCTGAATCTTGTCGTTTGCCCAATTGTCTTCATATTCTTTACTAAAATATTTACAAGTAGTGAAAACATTGACACATCACTTAACGTTAGATGGGATTGTGGTCAAGCATTTGCTTATAAAACACTAGCTTTCGCCCGCGACTTCTTCCGCGTGAAATTAAAAAATCATGGCCTATGTTACTCGTGGATAATGTAGCTTTCGAATGGTGATTGAATTTTTAAAAACGGTCCACGTTTTGAGCCTATTCCTTAAAATCAATCAAACCAAGTTTTCCTCTTTATTTTAGTATAGAAAACAAAGCATTTCTAAAGAAAATGTTATTTAAATTTGTGTCGGCATAGTCTTCGTGCATATTTTTGTATTCAAAATAGCACTAACATATCCAATGCGTAGATCTAGATTATTAAGGATTTAAACGAAATATTCGTTGGGTTAAACCATAACACTATTACCTGGGTATTAAAACCGCTCGACTGTTCCCTTCGGCCATGCGGTAATTCAGTTCACTTTGAGATAGCTGTAATTGAAAATGTCGATCGGTGCGATGTTCATTTTCCACTAATTAATCGCTGTGATGACATCACGTCCCCCTAAACTACGTACCTATTTCTCTATAAACACAATGAGATGGGCTGCTGTACACGGACTGCAGTCGACAGCGCCAGCTTTAAGCAGACAAACTCTTAGCCAGAAGAATGAATGTACATACACGATATATGAATGGAATGTATTTTGCTTACCTGAAGCCTAGTCTTCTTCCCATATTCATCTCCTCTTTAAGAGAAATGAATTAATTTAGCAAAGGGTAATGGGGAGAGGAAAATCTTCTTTTTCGTCCTCTCTTTTGTCGCTTAAAATTAGGCAATACTTTAGAGAATGCTATCTATATTATCTATGGGGAATGGACATTTCGCTATTATGGCGAATTAAAGTGGCAGCTTGTTTACCACTTTTTACTATTACTAAAGGTTGTGGAAAAACTCAAGAAAAAATGCTTTATGATGATTGCTGCGTATATTTTGTTTTAAATACGCTATAGCTTATTTTGAAATGCTACTATTTGTGTTTCGACTTAAGGAAAAAGCCTTTATGTGTATAATTTTTTATACATTAAGTGTACTTTGTATAAAGTCGGTGTATGATTTTATCAGATCTGTTTATGGTGTTACGTAGGACTGTCTCGGATCGCTAATGTTCTGCGAAGTATACAAGTGTGAGAATTACTAACATATGCGTTTGTGAGTCACTATGGGTACGGTTGATGACATTTTTATGGACTGACCGACTGGCTATCAAGTACTAACAAGGTTCATAGCTGTCTCACTATAAACATAAGAACAACTAGTTATGTATAGAAGGAAAATTACGATAGAATTATTATCTTGTCACATGGATTCATTCACTTATCAAAAAAGCATTCTTTTCTTGTTAACTTCACATTAAGACACACCATGTAACTTATTAGTCTCTTATTATTATAAAATGGTATCAAATCAAAAAAAAAATAATCAAAGCTTGCTTAGTCTAGGAGATATAGACGTCTAGTGCGAAAGAGTAATATGAGATTCGCGGCGTCTCTCGTGTGCAAATTCATGTATTGAAGACACAAAAGAAACGTGTCCTTTTTGAATTTTTGCTAGCCACATGTCTAGGATGGTACATCTATTGCATATCGTCATAGTCAACCTTTACTCAACTGGAGTCAACAATAGCCAAAGTTTCTTTTGACACATTCTGACAAAACAATCGTGTGAGTCTATCATTCTGTTTACTGATTATTCTATGAAAGCTGGTGTGTATTTGTCTCAGTTTTTTCAAACGGGATGTAAGGGATGGCATGTGTCAATACAAGTCACTGCAGTCAAAAGACAAATGAAACTCGAAAAGAAAACCCTGTCCTGTGTTCTTTGATCCCTAGTCTACGTTCAGTTGCATTAAAATTTACATATTTTGCGTTTCTATTTACGTTCCGTCTTTGATGTCCTCCATCCTTTTCATAACGGACTTCGTCTCCTAAGCCAGTAATATATATTCTGCAATACATGAATACTAATAAATAATATAAATTTGATAGTATTGAATATATTTAAATTTCTCTCCATACTATCTTTGTTACTCATATTATAAATGCGAATGTATAGATGTTTGGCACAGATGTAGAACAAAGTCTTACGTATAGTTTATTTACAAAAGTTTTTTTTATTCCACGCTGACGACCTCTCAATTAAAAGATAGTACGTAAATAATTCAGAAAAAACTTTAGTTATATCAATAAAATTTTTGTTTTAATTTACTAGTGTTTTATACTTTGTTTATTCTCATTATCTCTACTTACGCTCTTCACATAAAATATCATTTCTTATTACGTAAATATACTTGCTTAGATTGGAGTATAAATAAGGTTTGCTCAAACATACCCCTTAATTTGGATAGTCTGGCGACGCGACGCAATCAGCCGTATGTATTGTGTATCCTGTGCTTATGTATTTATTTACGTAAGTACTTACATGTATATAATCGAAGAAGTCTTCTTGCTTTTATAGATATAAACTCTGCAGTCTTGTCTGATCTGTATATCTCTGTACTTTAGTAATTACGACTAAATAATTTTCCTAAATTATAATTTCGTGTTACCGCATTTATTATATAGTAGCTTAACTAAACAACTTGCTTAGCTCCCTTTTTGTACTAATTAACGTTATACATCTGTGCGATTTTATTTCATTTTTTATTTCTTTAAATATGTAACTCATCATCTTTCTCTTTATCCTACTCCCGTAGGGTCGGTGCAACAGATTATTGTCCTCCACATAACTCTATCATACGTCATCTCAGTCATCACTCCCTTTTTGATCATGTCACCTTTCATGCAATCTATCTATCTTTTTTTAGGTCTACCCTTCCATATTCATAACTTACGTACTCCTTGTAACATGCGATTCATCCCTCCTCATAACATGCCGATACCTTGCTAACCTTTAACTCCTTATCTTCTCTACTACTGGGGCTACTCTCAAACTTATGTAATAAACTCTTTAGTTATGTAACTAATATGAATGGAAAATACACAATCTTACCTTTTAAATAAAACCACGATTGCTTTGCCCTTGGCTTCTAAAGTCAAAGATTTCGCCTTAAAAGGAAAGACGTGATCTGAATTTTGGGATAAAAAATATTAGTCGGCGGTAACATGAAATGAATGGCAATCCTTGATTCCTTAAATTCTTCTCGATATGCTTTAATACCAAAGCAATAGGTATGAAAATCGTTTAACGCAAACCGTAATTTACAAACGCAAAAAAATAAAATAATATCAACATCTCGAAGCAGCCAGCTTTTAACGTTTATTGAGGATGACGGTTTTGTTTAGAATAACTGTAAATACCATTCCCTTAGGACAAGGATGTAATTAAAATGGAATATTTAGGTATTACATATTGTCAAATAGTTGAAGTTAAAACGATATTTAGAAAACTATATATATTACTAGCTTTGACTTCGCCCGCGTGCAAGTAAAAATAATAAAAAACGTAACCTGTTACTCAGTGATAACGTAGCTTTATAATAGGGAAAGAATTTTTGAAATCGGCTCAGTAGTTTTTGAGTTATTTCAATACATACAAAAATCAAAAATCCAAATATTTCCTCTTTATAATAGTATAGATATAGATTATCCAACACAATAAGTACAAAAATTGTAAATTCAGAACATAGTAGACGTTCTTGGTATTTTCTCGAAAATAAATATAAAAAAATAAAGTGTCTTGAAACATAGCCTGTTGTGAAAATACTTCTATGCATCTAAAATGCAATACTTTGTCCAGTTCTATTCTTGGCTTTAGTCTTTTCTTGGCCTTGCAAGACAAAATTTGTTTTGAATAAAGGTAATAGAGCGATAAGTAGTAATTAAACAATTACATTCTGTTCCGTTACGTTTTTACTTTCACTCGTGTCTCAGTGAGAACTCGTCTCGATATAATTTCTTTAGATAAAACATTGAGTGATGAAAATGTACTTACAAGATATACGAGTACGTCACGCTTTCAGTTCAGACAGCAAGATTTATTTTGTACGAACTGTCGCCCGCAAACTTCGTTAGCGCAAATTTATCCCATTTTCACAGCGCGGAATATAATAAAAAAGTAGCCTGTAATATGCCTATATCTGAAAATCACGTCGTAATCGGTCCAGCCGTTTTGGAGATTGCTCGGAACGAACGCGGCTTTCGGACAGACAGACAAAATTTTTTTAATCCAAATACATCATCTTCCCGAAATCTGGATGTTTTCTTTTGTTATTACAAACAGACACTCCAATTTTATTATTTGTATAGAAGTAGATAGATTCGGGATTACTTTTTAAAGAACATATTAATTTTGACTTTTGAGTGTATTGTATATTATTATGATTTTGTAGAGAAATAATAGGTTTGTAGCGATGTATTGATAAAAGTATACTGTAGAATGTGAAGAAATAAAATAATAACCGTCTTAAAAAGTTTGGTAACTCACAACAATTATTCGTAAAGTGAACAATATTCCTACTAAGATATATCAAGGGTTTCGTTTTAAATTACATCATTAACCTACAAAATTTATCTATCATCTAAAATTAATTCGGTTAATACAAAAACAAAATGGTCTTCTAAACTATTTATTAATTATTTAATTTATAAGAAATATTAATAATATTTACATTATAAAATTATAATCACAATTGACTTATAAAAATACTGGTGGTAGATAGCTCTTCGTTGAAGGTCCTGCTCGACCTAAATGCGGTTTCATTGAGTAAATACTCTGATTTTTTAATTCATGAACATTTTGTGAATGATTTTCTTGTTCTTTATTAGACTTTCTTACATTATTTCGCTGTATCACTTTGTAATTCTTCAAAACGCCACGTATTTCTTGTTGCTGCGGTTGTAATCGAAAGTTATTCTGATTTATTGACGATTCTGTTTTGATTTCCTTGTTTTGCGAATCATTGTTTAAATCATGAGATCCATATTTACTATCGTTGTTAAGTTGCGTTAGTTTTCTTTTTGATTTTAATTTATTCGATTCAAAAATGTTTTTATTGATCACGTAATATAAGACATCTGACATGTCCAAAGGTTTCTTTTCTATAAATTTTACTTCATTTGGAGGTGTTGGTTCATTTCTAATAGTTTTTGGAGATGTAATTATAACGTATTGTGTTTCAGAATCAACTGGTTTTGGAGTTGAATTAATGTGATCCATATTGGATTCAGTACGAATCTCATGTTGTAAGTAATTTTGTTGCATAACAGGATTTCTTTTCTTGAAGAGATTTCTTAAAAAGAGATTGTTTCGAAGCATTTCATTAATATTGCCTTCAGTAGTGACTTGTTCCTTATTGTATTGTGGTATAGTTTCTTGCCGCTTTGGTAGTATTCGAACTTCTTGAAATTCCTGTTTCTCTTGATCATGTATCATGTTATTCGTTGGACTTATTGTACTAGACGATATTTTTTCTTCATTTAAATTGACTTTTTTATTGTCTGTATAATTGTAATATTGATTGTATGTAAAGTCAGTTTCGTTTGTCAAATATTCATATGTTGGATATTTATTTATATTATCTGTATTATAATATGAAGACATTAATTTTGGTTTATAAGAAACACTTTCATAGTCCAACCATTGTGGTGCATCAGTAGAAACTGCAAAAATGTATGGGTTAATTGCTTTAAACGTTTCTTCCTGTTTATTTGGTTGAGTACTGCTAAAATGGTCATCGAACTTGTATCCACCAATTATCTGACTAAATGCAGGTTCGGTTCCAGAAATCTTAACTTTATGGTTATTTATACCATAATCGTAGTCATTTTCGGAGCTGTTATTAGCATTTCTGTATTTATCATTATTTGAATAGTTGTAGTTACTATCTGACTTTGGTTGCTGTTCTTGGAATAAGTCAAAATTTGGATTAGTGTTTGAATTTTCGTAATTTCTAATAGCTTTTGAATATTCCATGGGTGTCATTTCATTAAAATTTATGATAACGTCATCTCCTTCGCTGGAAGATCTTGATATAAGATTTTTTGTAGGGTTAAGGTTTTCGATGTTACTATTTGAACCATATTGCCATCTCCAAAGGGCTTTTGTATTTTCAGATTCTTTTGAATTTGGGTTGTTTTGGCTTGACTCATAATTTACTAACTGCGGTAAAGTTGATTTTTGGGGTTTACTCAAAGGTAAATTTGCACCTTGTGATGCTAAAAATGTGACTTGAGGTTCTAGAGTTTCAAAATTTGTATTTCTTTTAAATTTATCTTCAGTGAATTCTATGTTTTGATTTACCGGTTCTTTGGAATTTGTTGCTGCTAAGTCGTTTTGTAAAGATGATCTTTGTGGAAGCCCAAAAGAAAAGGCTTCCGGTGTTCGTCCAGTGAATAAATTATTTTGAATAGGTATGTAGTTTTGATTGTTTTTGTCGTGGTTATAAATACCATCACTTTCATCATCATAATAATATCTTAGATGTGGCGGTTTTTTAGCTTCTTCAGCAAGATTGTATTGTATTGATCTAAAAACAAAATGTTAAATTAGTTATTAATAACTATATTCATATTACCTGAGGAAACATGAAAAAATGGTCGATGACACTTCTGGTGCCTCATTTGCTATCTGCGTTCGAAAAGATTTACTAGATTAAAATGCAAGATATGTCTTTACAAAGATAACAAAAGGAATAATCAAACCTTTGAATGATCTCAGGAACTGGCGGCGGTACTGGCAAATGGTCGCCGGTTGCTCGATATCCATTAGAATCAGCGATGTAGTGCACAGTGTACGTTTGTCCATTGTCACCAACATATGAATATGAACCTTCAACAACTTGACTTTCCTTGTCAGTACCCAAGTTTTCCATATGACTGTGCTGCACATAATGAGTTTGATCCGCACCTAAGGCTCTGTGAAAATTAGTTTGATAAAAGTAAAATCATTACAGATATCATCACAAATTAGGAGTATTTGAAATAATCAATCTACGTATAGCTATATTACTTTAATTCAAATGTTGACATGCTTAAAACTGCAATAGACTTCTCAAGAAAGCTGGTTATTATTGGGCGTCGTAAAAAGTTAAATTTACTTACTCATAGCTAAAGCTTCCATCCAAATCCATCTCATTAGACAGTCTTAGTATAGGTATTGCAATTTCTGTGGTAGATTGTATGTATACATTTGGAGGAGGAGCAAAGTGTATATTATGGTATGAAGCTTTTTGTTCAAGATCTTGATTGTTTACATTATCTGTTGATATTATAAACTTCTTAGATGCAGCATTTGTAGATGATTTTGTACCTTCTGTAGACGGAGTAACTTGCGGCGATGCTTTGCTATCCATTCTATCAATTTGTTTATAATTCAATACTTGTGAATTTGTTGGGAATATTCTTCTTTCTGTTTCCTTAATGTTTGAATTCATTTTTGTTTGATTGTACGTGAACGGCGTTGGTGCAGTTTTATTGAATATTTCATTGCTCTCTGTTCGTCTTTGCAATCCGTCTTTGTAATCCGTTGCTGGTGTTAGTAAAATTGGAAAAGATGTTGGAAATGCATGCGATAATTTTGCTTGAATTGAGGGTAAAAGTTTGTAAGGGTCGTCGTAATTGTTTGATGAGAAATATGGATTTAAAGTTTGGAATTCTGATGGAAAATAAATAGGTCTATCTGACGTAACCATTGAATTTATCAATGGATAATTTTGCGGGAATGAAACTTGTCCTTGGTGAACTTTTTCACCACTTACATAAAATGTGTTAACATACAAGAAAAAGTACACCTGAAACAATGTTTTGTGTGTTTTATTGTTCTTTAATTGCTGAAAATTATATAAATATTTGGGAATTACTTGCCAGTTTCATTTTTACAGTAATTATAATCCATATATTTCTATATCACGTCACTCTTTAACACAGATAGAATAAAGACTGATAATGAAAATGAATTCCGCATATATTTATACACACGCAAGATCGTGTTCAGGCATTCGTGAAAATATCACTTGTTGTATTTTCTCTTATGTTACCACTGACACAGTTCTTACACTGTTTATGATATTTCTTTATTATGCTTGTTAAAGAAAATCGATAGTCAGTTCCTGTCTTCAGCTATTGCTACATGTTTGAAAACCAAATTTAACGAGACAGCTTAAAAGCTTCTTTTGACTTAAGTATAAGTGACGAATTTTCTGCATTTTTAGGTTATTTAATTTATGAATTTACCAAAAAAAACATGATTACATTAAGTAGAATGCTTTATAGAAACAATCTTTCTTGAGGTTTTTCTAACTATAATTTTAAAATCTATTTTAAGTGTCCTCATACTTTTAATCTGAACTTTCTTGATGTTCGTTTCTTCTCATTCTATGATACTAAAATAATTTATTACTTTTTTTTGCGATGCGTTTTAGTAAGTCCTTACTTATTTAGAAGTTTCACTGATTTTAGTATAGTAAATACTTAAGTGTGAACGCACTCTTGAGAATATGTAACTTCTATAATAGCAAGTCAATGCCCTTATAAACTGGTTAGTATAAAATTTCGTTGGTTCAAGGTCTGGGCCGTATGGTACGAAATTTTATTTTAGTAGCTGCAGGTTGTCTTTTTTGGCTTTATGGCCGATGTTAGCCTTGATAGGGTCACGACGGCATTGAGTTGCAATGTATAGTGCTATCCAATCTTTATGGTTGCTTGCAATATCGAACGAGACGCTGCGTGGTACGCAATTTTAGGTATATGCGGTAAAATACACACTCGCAGTGCACCTAGCACACACATGTGAAGACAGGGGTTTCACCACAAGCTGCTATGAAGATTGATTCTTGTAATATACGAATGTCGGATGCATTGTCTCTGAAGTTGTTAACACTTTTTTGGAATAGATAGTTAGATAAACTGTAAAGTTAATTACAAAATAAATTCTATCACTTTAATCAAATATTTAAGATTTGACTAAATTAAAAATAATGTTTATTTTCGAGACAATCTAGCTATCTAGTTTTATTTTGAAGCGTATTTAGGGATATAAATAAAATAGTTTATAATTTACAATATATTTAATTAACTTAAAAATAGTAAATCACACACGTTTATGGCAACGAAAATAATATTACAAATGAATATCAAATAGTAATCGAGAGCACAATAAATATCGTGCACAGGATTGCTGATTTGATTATTTTAAATCCTTTCATTCATATTGAAATATTAATAATTTATGTTAAACTTATGTGGTACGTGTTTGCAATACCAATTATTTATCGTCGCCGTATAATTTACGTTTCTAATATCGCAGATTATTTGCCGTAGCTCGGTTGATGATGATAATTCTGTTGAGGCTGGGTTTGTTGCGGGTAATATGTTTGTTGGTTCTGTTGTGGATAGTAGGTTTGCTGTTGTTGTTGCTGTGGGTAGTAAGTTTGCTGTGTTTGTTGAGGGTAAACCGCGGGCTGCTGTGTTGGTTGCACCGGTTTCTGAGTCTGTTGTGGGTAGTAAACCGGTTTCTGTGTCTGTGGTGGATAGTACACTTGTTGGGGATTTTGTTCCTGTTGCGGGTATGTTTGTGGGGGATTCACCGTCTGAGTTTGTTGTTTATTCTTTTCTGCTTCAGCTTTAGCTGCCTCTTCTTTCGCGTTCTGTTCGAGAGCCCTGTGAAAATATTGTTCAATTATACTTCTTACGAATATAAAACAGTAAAAGTCTCTCAAGATCAGATATTCTTTAAAATTATTCTTTACTAAATAAAAAACAATAACTTTAAATTATATAAAATGCTTTACAACGGTCATTGCTATCGATGTTTCTATATTTATTTCAAACACAAAAACTGACAGTGCTCGCGTGGGTTAGCCTCTTATCACAAATCTAATAAATTCGAATCCAAACATCGAGTGTCCGTCCAAGTCTTTCGAGTTCTAAACACAGAGATTTTTATATACATTTTATTTGGTACTTACGCTTGGATCGCTGGATGAACTGGAGGTGGAGTTGGCAGATGGTCTCCGGTCGCATGGTAGCCGCTTTCGTCAGCCCAATACGTGACAGTGTAGACCTTGCCGTTGTTATCAGTGAAGGAGTACCATCCCTTCTTCACGATACTCTCATCGGTGGCCTTAGGGTTTGTGAAGTATCCCTCTTCGCCGACGTGTGTGCCGTCAGCGATCTCGTATCTGAATTGTAACGTGATTTTTAGTTGATTTGCAATAACATTCAATGTAAATTAGATCCGCGTAGATAGTTGACAAGAAGATGTACGAAATTTATTAGTGAATCCATACTTTTATGCCAATTGAGATCTTTTTCATAGCAATAATTGTTTATCAGTTCCCTATAAAGTTAATTTTGAAGACAAGATTAACACTTTCAATTTAAAATCAATTATTTTAATTTATTAGTCTCTATTTTAAAATGTGTTATAAATATACCGCATGCGTGCTAAATAAAGTTTCGTTGTTTTTCAAGAATTTTATGGTACAGTTAAATTGCTATGATAACCGGATTGGAAGTCGTTTACGCGAAACCGATCGAATATTGACCGTTAGCCGTCTTTTATTTCCCACATTATGCTTAAAATTCGGAGATAGCTCATGTTTTTTTGTTGACTGAATTAATAGAATACATTGTGTATGCATTATATCTACAATACTGTATATTTTCGATTGATAGAACAATATTAATTTTGTTGATAAGCTATAAGTTGGGTTTGCAGTTATAGGAACATGGATAAGTCAAAAATATATTACTTATAAAATACGGCTAAAATAATTTAAAAAACTGATTTTTCTTAAATTGGTTTTAAGCAAAATAGAGACAAAAGAAATCAGATAAACTCACTCGTATTTGTAGCTGCCGTTTTCTCCGTAGGATTGTTCGTTTTTAATCACAGCTACAGTCGGTGTCGAAGTTGTTGTGGTTGTGGTGGGCACTGGTTGTGGTTGCTGAGGTTTTTGTGGTTGTTGTGGTTGCTGTTGGTTCCAATTGTTGTTTTGCCAATTGTTATTATTCCAAGAATTTTGCGGTGACACGTAGTTATTTTGGGGCCGGCCGTAGTTGCCCTGTTGTTGATTCCAGTTGTTTTGTGGTGGATCATTTTGGACTGGATAGTAGCTTTGTGAGGGAGGGACGTAGTTGCTACTTGTTGGTATGTTTACTGTACTTTGGGATGGTACATAGTTACTTGTTGGGGTACTTGAGGGTACGTAGTTACCAAAGGATTGTGATGGGGTGCTCTGTGAAGGAATATAGTTACTAGGGGAAGGGTTCCATGGCCTTTGAGGTGTCTGGCTGGGAGGTACGTAAGGTGGAGGTGCGGCCGTAGGTGCGTAGTACTGAGCGAAGTTATTTCTTACTCCAGACTGTGCGGCTACTTGATCGTATTTTATTAGTTCTTCGGTCGCTGATACATCTTGATCCTCGAAATTTGCTTCTGGTTCTTCAGAAGCAAGAGTCAGCGCCAAAAAGGCAGCGGTTATAAAGACCTGCGAAATAAGGTTCCATTATTAATTTTAACACTTATAGTAACAAAAATCGTAAAGTTAAAACTTTAATATGATTAATGGTCAGAAACTTTAAGTTAAAATTAATTTATTTTATTTAAAAGGGATCGAATATTTTATCTATCTCAGTAATTTCTAACATGGTAAGCAAAAACAAATTTTAATACATGTAAATTATGTCCAATATTAACTACGCAATTTAATTTTTTAAAATAAACCACGAATTTTATTGTTTCTTAAGAATATCTCTAAGAATCCAAGGACTCACCAATTTCATATTCGTGTCCTTCTGTGGCCGTGGTCAGCTCGATACTGTGGCCACAAGGGGTCGCTCCACATTTTATAGGAAGTATCCTGCGTCGAGGACGCCATGCATTTTGCGTATGTGCCGCCCAACACAATGACCTCGCTTTTCGATGCCACATAATTATTATTAAATGGACTTAAGGTGACTCTTTCTAAGACAAGCCAATGAAGAAAAATATCTTATTTGAACTTTGTTATTTTTATTAAACTAACTTGTTATAAAACGTGTTGATGATTTTTTAAGATTTGTTGTTAGTTTGTGTTTTAAGGGGGTAAATACTTTGAATAAGTATTGATTTCAGAGATGACTAAGGGTCAATTAATCATTCCCTTAACCTATTATTTACAATAAATGACTTGATTTTATGTAAACAAAACCACAGGTTATCTATACCTCAACATCTAAAACAACTGTTGAAAAATTTATAGTAACATGTTTTTATGTGTTGCGGCAGTGAAATTCCACCGTTAGATTTCTAAGCAGATGTCTATCATTAATAATTTACATAAACATTGTTTTGTTTGTCTGGTCAAGGTTAGATTAGTAGGTAAGGGCGGGTCCGTTCTTTGTTGCTTTCGTGGGCGAGGCTTATGTCCAGTAGTGGACAACTAGATGCTAAATTAATTAGCATACCTACATAATTAACCATAGTTTTGTCATTTTTTTTTAAATTCCGTGTTAATTTTATAAATCAATTAACAAAGTTTTGTTCGAAATATTAATTACAGTTTTTAAAGTAATAATTGATTCTGAAAGAGGTTAAATGATTTTCTGAATTTTTCGAATTAAAAGAGAGTACCGGAAACAGAAGTAGTGAAAGATATCCTACTAAATGTAATGGCATTTCTTCGGCTACTTCACAATAACAATTATAATCTTTAAGATTCCATTTCTCCAAACATTTTAATATTAATTAATAAATTTCTAATTCAAGCGTAGCATAAAAGTGTATAAATGGCATGCGTTCTTCTTACATTTTTATAACAATGGTTACAATATGTCAGTTATATTAATAAATGCGTATTCTGTCGATATCTGTGACGGAGGTATGAATCAACCGACAGGTTTTTCCTTTTGTAACGGTGTTAAAAAAACCTGAACATCGGCTGGAGGGGAAGGATCAGGACGGGTTGAACAGTTTTAGTATTTCGTCAATGTTGCCAACAATAGCCGTTCTAATACGATGTGTGAAGTATTGGTATTGGCAGCGGTTAATGACGTCCCCTTGTCCATTTTAATAAAAAAAGCGCAACAAATATATCGAAGTGAACTCATCCGGACCTTCGGGTCTGCGTTATCTCAGCTTATAATATTAACAAATACGGGAGTTATACAAATTTGAGATCCTCTTAGTCACAGCTTAGTTTTGATGACAAATGAATTGCGCTGTTGTTTTTTTAAATTAGGTTTTCGAACAGAGATTTTTAGTTAAACTCAACCACATATAGATTCTACGAATAGTGCGCTAAATGTTGTAGGCGATTGTCTACTTTTGGATTTAGCGAGGTTATGGTTAATACAAATTTCATACAAATATTTCAGTGTTTTCATTAAGTAACTATTTATAAATACTTTGCAAGTAAAAATGCCCCAAATTTTGACAATTGTTACGATTGACAGATGACAAAAAATGTTACGATTAATTAAAATTTCTGATGTAACTTTTTAATGAATGCTTCAGTCTATTAAATATTTCTGAAATTAATATCAAATCCACTTTAAAGTTTTCAGAATTGTATTGTAATCATGTGTCATTGAACAAATCACAATAAATGAGGCACATAATTTAATTTTGTGTTTATCTCCGCCCTAAGTGGATTCGCATTCCGAGAATAAAACGAGGTTTCATATCAGAGCTGAAGACATCAATAACTGAGGAGACGTGTTCCCAAATTCATTCAATATATTTTTAAACTTGTTGCTAAATGCGAATTGAGACTACCGTAAGGACATGGTGAATAACGTATGTCATCGAAGATACAATTTATTTAGCGGGCATAAGAAATTTCCTATGGATTCTTATTTCCACTGTCGCGGTTGGGTTTGCTAGACCAAATGACAACGACAGAAGTCGTGCGGCTGCCTCCTAAAATAGTCGTTAAGGACGTAGTTTTGCTGTTTGTAACTGGTTACTTTTTAAAATAAACTATGTTTACACAACTTTTCTATTAGTTATAAGTTATAAAATACTTTTATCTATTGCAAATGAGCAGGGGACAATCTGAATTTGTCAAAATGGAGACACGACCGCTACCTATAGACATCCGCAATTAAAGATGCGTTGGCTACCTTTAATTGATGGAGGAGAGGAAGCACAGAAAGATGATTTTTCCTCTTCCAATGCGTTCTCCTCATTCAAATCTACTTCTTCTTCCCGTCTTGCATAATTCTTATTTCTCCGTATAATCTAAAAGGAGAAAAATCGTTAAACATCTTTAGTTAGTTGCCGTATGAACACATACACATATAAATATACATCTATACATGTAATAAAAATTGAGTGTCTGTTTGTAATATCAAAAGAAGAATCCAGATTTCGGGAAAATGTATTTGTGTTGCTGATAACGAAAATTGCAATCTTTTTTCTGTTTGTCCGCAAGCCGCGTTTGTTTCGGGTAATCTCCGAAACTGGGCTGGGCTAATTTCGACCGGAATTTCATTGAAAGGTAGCTTACATAGACGGGCATATTATAGGCTACTTTTTATCTTAATATTGCGCGAACGAAGTCACGGACAACAGCTAGTATGTCATATATGTATTACATATGTTTAAATATAATGTTTTCGGTCATCGATGGGGCATTTTGAAGGTTACGGTCAATGGTGAACCATTAATCAACTAAAACCTTTTATATTTCTGATACTGTAACGAAGCTAAATAAAACATGGCAAAGCATTTGCTCTTACTTAAAATTATCGTATTCCAATTTACGATATCTTAAGTTAGTGCCAAGGAACTTCAATTTTGCAGCAAAAAAATGTTAACAGCTTACTATGCGAATGGGAAGAAAAGTCGTGTTTTATTTTTGCTAAGCTTTCGTTTGTTTTAGAGTCGTGATATCAAACAAAACGGTATGCAAATAGATTCGGCGTATTGTCTTTAGATTAAATTAAAAGAATTAACTGCCAGCCAATTAGGCGTAAGATGTAAACGGTTATTATTTGTATAGAATAACTGTTATTCAATAAATTATTCCGTTATCTACGAATGTTTTTATTGTTCGATTGTATGAACATTGATGGGTCGATCACCTTTTTTATGTGGTTAAATTTTATCGACGTTTTACAACTTTTTGTTGAAGATATTTATGAAGGATATTAGCAGATCGAAATCTTTTTTCTCTTTGATGGAATAGATTACTAAAGTTCCATAGGCTTATTCAATAGTCAGATTCCAGATGCCTATTATTACAAAATTTCTTCGTTTTTCTTTTAAATTCCGGTGTAAAGACATGATTAATAATATAAACCAAGATTGATATAATTGGAAGAAAAAGAAAAGATGGTATAACCGACACAGGAAAATAGATAACTTATCCTAGTAGCGTTTCAGTCGTCTTTTTAATTATAGCACCTTTAGTATGCAACGAAATTAGTTCTACATTTTCTGTATTTTTAGGGATGGTTTTTAATTTCTGGTCAAGTTATAAATTACGTTATATTTGCCCTTTTAAGAAAATGGTTAATGCATTTTGAAATAAATTCATTTATAACTGATGAATCATAAGGATAAGGCGCTTATCGAATTTAACGTCAAGGCATTTTATTTCAGTAGATGACTTAATATGAGTTGCATGTACTATAGTTAATCTATACTATAATCATAAAGCGTTAACACACACTTCTTTGTTGCCTAAGATGTCAGCAATTACATCATATTATTGAATATTTCTTTTTTTAAGAAAAGCCCTATACTTATGTTACGTTTTAGGCTATATATTTTCACGCCAATAAACTTAGGGGGTAAATATTTTGGATAAAATCCCTAATGTGGGAAAGAGACCATAAGTTGCTGCCAACATTAAGAAAACAAGATTGCCAAGGTTTGTCCTGTCATGTCAGTTTGACATTTGCTATTGATAATTTGACAAATGTAAACAATAAAATAAAATTTATTAAAAAGCCGCATGGGAACAGCTAGTATATTTAATATGAAGAAAAATTAAATTTTTCCTGCCTTGAATTTGACTTTGTACTTTCTAAATTTAAAATCTTAAGGGCTACAATCAATTAACAATCAGATCGATTTATTTGCGTATATCACGCATTTTATTCCTTAATTTATGATGCAATTTGTATTAACGGTACGTCAAATTCGTAACGACGTTGCGCTGATTTGAGGAACCGTGTTTTCTTATTATTGACTCAACGGTAAGGAAGCCCTTATTTGTGAATAAACAAACTCAAAGTACACTGTGTTATTACCGTGTGATTTCAATGAGATGCCTAAGAGTTTTATTTCGTCATTTCTAAAAATGTCATTAGTTTTTTAGTTTTATATCTTACTAATATTATAAATGCGAAAGTTTAGATGGATGGATGTTTATTAGAATTTGTAGTCTAAACTACAGAACGAATCTCGATGAAATTTGGCATAGATGTAGAGGGTAGTCTGGAAGAACACATAGGATACTTGGCTTTGTTTTTATTAATTCCACACGGACGGAGTCGCGGGTGAAAGCTAGTATTTTTATACACTAGTATACTTAAGAAGGGAGTGGATTCAGATATGATGAATAGAGATGAATGGAAGATCAGCATTATTTTTGATATCTCTCTTTGACTTCTTCATTGAATATTATTGCTAATACTTTAGATCGTAAGACTTCCACTAGGATAAGATCGTGTGTTTCCACTATTAAACCTCTTTCTCACTCCCTTAAAGAGAAACAAAGACAATATGTGTTAATACAAGCGACTATTGATTATGGTTTTCGGTTTGTTTCTTTTTATTTCGGTTATGAATTTCGGCTATGTTCTAAATTTAAAAATCGCAAACAGAATTGACAATTATACGTTAAGAGGTTTCCGTGATAAATCTTATAAGCCTTTTGTGTATTTATTGAAATGAA